ATGTTCCTAACTTTTTTTTTCCAATACAATCAATTACAATGGCTGCTAGTTGGCATAACTTCCCAGTGCAAGCACTCAGAGCAAGTTTCAGCAACACCCCCGCCCCTATTTTAAGTTAAAATAGACAAGCGTCTTAAACAGCTGAACAGTTAAAAACTCTGATATACAGGTGCATGCCTTTGCAGTTGCACACACACACACCATAGTTTGAAGACCAACACTCTGGTGGTCTAGTCGACAGTCATAAATTAAGGCCTACAAAACTTGGAAAATGAAAAGCAAATAGTCAAGACTGTAGTTTCTGCACTGCCATTTTCAGAGATGTTTGGTTTCCCAAGAGGGTGCAAATCAACGACCAGTTAAACAAGCAGTAATTGCCAGCTTTAGTAAGGAGTCAGGAATCATCAGTAAACTTTGTGTTGCACAGAAGCTTGCAAAAATAAGTTATTCATCATTCAGTTTAAGTATTACACTCAAGTCAGCCAGAGAAATCTGCAAGTCAAACTGCAAGACACCAGCAAAGTTTGGAGGCAGATAAAAAACAACAGTTCAACAGAGAGGATTTTTCCCTGCCTCCCAGTGCTAGCGAGGGGAAAAACAAATTCTCTCAGCTGATAGCCAGGACCATGCTGTGAGGCATCATTCTGCTACATTTCATAAAATAAGCAGCGCTGGAGTGGACTGATACTTGGAACAAAATGCTTCAGAGAATACCTCAGCTAGAAGATGCTTGTAAGTGGAAATGAACACTGCTTAATAGGAAGTAGTGATGACAGCAGGTCAGAAGGAGATGCTCTCCGTGCCTGCTAGCACTAAGCCAGGGCCCCAGTGTACTCCTAGTGCAGACTGTATAGGTGATATTGTAACCCTATACGGATCCCGTATTTTCCTCAGAACTAGTATGACCTTTGCAACCAGCAGAGAAAATTTGACCTGCGTAACTCTATCCTGCCAACACCAGCCACCCTTGCAGATTAAGCTAAACGCTCCACAATATGCTTTTCCATTTTCTGTACCAGATTTGTCCTGTATATTGAACAGCTGCTACTTTTGAGCCCTAGTGTAGATCATCTGTGTACAGCTTGTACACCAAACAGTTAAATTCAGAAATTAC